AACAATAGTAAAGATTAATAAAACTAAAAGCTGGTTCTTTGAGAAGATAAAACTGACACTCCTTTAGCAAGACTCATGAAGAAAAAGAAAGAAGAATCAAATCAACAAAATTAGAAATGAAAAAGGAGAGGTTACAATAGACAATGCAAAAATACAAAGGATTATAAGAGTATTAAGAACAACTATATGTCAAGAAAATGGATAACCTGGAAGAAATGGACAGAGTCTTCTTCCAAGACTGAAACAGGAAGAAACAGAAACTATGAACAACCCAATTACAGGCACTGAAATTGAAGCTATGATCAAAAATCTCCCAAAAAACAAAAGCCCACGACCAGATGGCTTCACAGGAGAATTTTATCAAGCATTTAGAGAAGAGCTAATGCCTATCCTTCTAAAAATCTTTCAAAAAATTGCAGAGGAAGGAACATTTCCAAACTCATTCCACGAGGCCACCATCACCCTGATATCAAAACCAGACAGAGACAACACAAAAAGAGAAAACTATAGGCCAATGTCACTGATGAACATAGATGTAAAAATTCTCAACAAAATTTTAGCAAATAGAATTCAGCAACACACCAAAAAGATCATATACCATGATCAAGCTGGGTTTATGCCAGGGATGCAAGGATTCTTCAATATATGCAAATCAATCAATGTGATACACCATATTAACAAATCAAAAGATAAAAACCATATGATAATCTCAACAGACGCAGAAAAAGCCTTTGACAAAATTCAGCACCCATACATGATTAAAACTGTTCTAAAAATGGGCATAGAAGGAACCTGCCTCAACACAGTAATGGCCACATGGAATAAGCCTTACAGCAAACATTATTCTCAATGGTGAAAAACTGAAAGCATTCCCCCTGAGATCAGGAACAAGACAAGGGTACCACTTTCATCACCATTATTAAACACAGTCTTGGAAGTCCTAGCTACATCAATCAGAGAAGAAAAAGAAATAAAATGATTCCCTCTGTGTTCAAAATTTTTTAACCAGTTATTTTCACCAGCCACTTATTTATAAGTTAACTTCATAAGTTAACAAATAGCATGCTACTAAATTGAGTGACTCAATAGTTCCTATGCAAAAACAGGACCCTGGTTAAAAGTAGATCTTCAGTGCCAAGGTGATACAGAAAGTACTAGAAGAAAACATTTGAATGCTATCCTTTACTTTTTTTAAAGATAAAATTCACATACCATAAAATCTACTTTTAAGGTATACAATTAAAAATAAAGTATACAACTCAGTGGGTTTTGGTATATTTATAAAGTTGTATAATCATCATTTACATCATTTATATCTGTTGATATTCTAGTTTCAGAATACCTTCATCAGTCCAAACAGAAACTTCCGTACCCACTAAGCAGTTGCTCCCAGTTACTCACAACCCCTAGCTGCTGAAAACCATCAGTCTGTGTTCTGGCTCTACAATTTACCTTTTCTGGATATTTCATGTAAAGTGAATCATGTGGTGTGATTCCTGTGACCTGTGACCTGTGGTGTCTGGCTTCTTTCACTTAGCATAATGCTTTCAAAGTTCATGCATGTTGTAGAATGAATTAGTACTTAATTTCTTTTTATGCTGAATAATAGTCCACAGTATGAAAATTCTACATTTTGTTCAGCCATTCATTCAGTGAAGGACATTTGGTTTCCACATTTTGGTTATAATGAATAATGCTGCTGTGAACACAAGAATACATGTATTTGTATGGACATACATTTTCAATTCTCTTGGGTATATACCTATAAGCCAGTAACTGCTGGCTTGTAGGATATCTCCATGCAAAACTTTTTAAGGAGTTCATTGTTTTCTAAAGCAGCTGCATCACTTTACACTCCTAATTGTATTACACATTATATATATTTATACATGCTGAGTCCAAGTTCCCATGTGAAATAAAAATTATTTTTAAATTTCTTAGTTATAAAAGACTGGTTTAAACAGTCTGAAAGAGCATTTCTATTTTTCTTTACTGATGAAAACAAGAAAAATGTCTGAAGAGAAGATAGATCAACTTTGTTAGTAAAACAGAAATAAATAAAAGCTGAAATAAGCTGAGCTACCTGAGTTAAAATTTAGAGGTTCAGAGATGAACCATTCACATTTGTTCCTTGTTCTAATTAGGTTTTAGTCTAAAATCTTTTGGATTCATGTTTTGAAATTAAAACAAGAATTCAGTAACACTGCATTAAAGGTAAAAAAAAAAAAATGAGCTACAAAATGGGAGCTACAGAAAAGGTATCTTGAAATGTCTTGCTAAGGAGGAACTAGAGGGGCAGAAAGAAAATGTTACTCAACTAATGCTAAAAATCCAATCCCTAAAAAAGGAATATGGGTATTACTTATGGCTGGCCCACAATTCTTACTCCCACTCTTCCCTAACACAGTTCTAGCCCACAACGCTGCCACAACAGCTGACAGGAACACCAAAAAAAATCAGGTTTTTTTCCATCAACTGCTAAGGTTGATGGAAGGACTTGTGGGTTCTAGGCATATCAATCTATTTAGAGATTATGTCTATAGGACCATCAGATGGCCAAAATAAATCACAACGGCTCTCTGTTTTCATAGAATAAGATTTCAATTTCAAATGACTTCAATCATATAGAGCAGACTGCACAGGAATCAACAGCAACTGGAAGCTTATAGCTTTTACAACCTTGTCCTCATGTACTTAAGTCTTCTTGACTTGTAGCAGGGAATTGTTTCTAGTGATGATCCAAAATGGCAGATTTCAAGATGTTCTATGAACTGGTTCTAAATTACGGCTCTTAGTCAAGGGTCCACAGATAGCTTCCGTAAGATATCAGTAGACAAAATCAGGGAGGGTAGGAAGCATGAATTTGACTGGGAAGAAATTACATATTTTTATTAAACTATAACTTAGCATTTTTACTCATTTATGAATATATAGGCAACAAATCATAGTAATACTATCAGCACCTATGACTACAATCATAGAAATCACAATACAGCTGTAGATATCTCAAAATTGCACACTCACTGCTACTTAAAAGTTGTAATAATTATTAGATCTATCATTAGATCTTGTTATTTAATAATATATCAATAGAGACCTGTATTACTAATTCTTACTATTTTGAGTACTTTATTTCCATATTCCTTTGTAACCTACTGCATTTTATATTAGGCATTTAAAAACAGTTTTCTATAAAAAGGAACACTCCTACCCTACTGCTGGGAATGTAAAGAGGTGCAACCATTATAGAAACTGATGGAGGTTCCTTTAAAACCTAAAACTTGAGCTACCATATAATCCAGCAATCCCTCTCCTGAGCATTTATCTGGAAAAGATGAAAACCCCAATTTAAAAGATGCATGTGCCGCAATGTTCATAGTAGCACCATTTATAATAGCCAAGACACAGAAACAACCCAAGTGCCCATTAACAGATGATTGGTTAAGATGTGATACACACACACACACACACACACACACACACACACACACACTAGAATATTACAGACATTAAAAAGAATGAAATACTGCCATCTGCAACAATGTGGATGGACCTAAAGGTATCATACTAAGTGAAGTAAGTCAGATAAAGAAGAACAAATATTATCTATCATTTATATGTGCAATCTGAAAATAACACAAATGAATCTATATACAAAACAAAAACAGAGTCCTAAACATAGAAAACAAACTTATAGTTATTAAAGGCGAAAGGGATGGGGGGGTGGGATAAATTAGGAGTATAGATACAGATACAAATTACTATACATAAAAGAGATAAAATAATAACCTACAATGGAAAATAATCTGATATATAGATATATACATATATATAGATATCTATTTATATAGATAGATAGATAGATATAGATACACATACATCACTGAATCACTTTGCTGCACATCTGAAACTAACACATAATACTATAGATCAACTATACTTAAACAAAAAATATAAAAATAAAACAGAAAAGCCCATTATTCTATGGTCTGTATAATACTTAACAGTATTGTTTCAATGTTAAATTTTCTGAGCATGACAATTTTAGTGAGGTTATGTAAGAATACATTTGTAAGTAGCAGATGCATGGTAAGATGTATCATGCTGACTGTAATTATGAAACCTACAAAAAATACATACACACACACATAAATAATAAGAGGCATGAGAGAGAAAGAAGAAAGGAAATATGGCAACATATTAAGAACTAGTAAACCCAGGATGAGGGATATATCAGTGACCACTGTACCACTAGGGCAATGTTTCTGAGAGTTTAAAAAAATGAAGAGATAAGAGATTGTTCTGAGGAGGGGTCCAAAGGATTCAAGAGATTCCAGAGGGATCCAAGACACAAAAAGGGTTTTTTAAAAACCTGCTTTAAACTTATTACCTTTCCTTTCATCCTTTCGTATACTCTATGCTGAAGACATGAAGGACCATTTCCTTTTTCACAGTACCCCAGAGTTCCTTACTTACGTGCTTCCTAATACTTAGAATGTGTCTAAACTTTACCTATTTTTTAATACTGAATTCAATTCAAATTTATTATACCTATAAAGCCTTCCCTGCCCTATTCCAATCAAGACAAATGCTTTCCTCACCCTGAAAGCACAAAGCACACTGTTTCTAGCACTACTAATAGCAGTCACTTCACATCGCCCTGTAAAGAGTACTCACAGCATCTGAATTCCCAAAATATAAGCTCTCCATGAACGTTTATCACAGGGATCAGAGGGATCCACAGACTAAATGACTACACAGATGAATGACTGCTACACAACAAATGACCTGTGTCAATCTGCTTAATTTTCTGTTACTCAATATAAATGCTCAAAAACACAAGAGTTAATTTTCAGATAGCCTCAAGGCCATCTTGAGACTCACATGACAGACAGTGGCAGAATTAAAACTCCAGTCACACTTCCAAAAAGAGGAACAATGTCCATACCAGTTTCAACTTGGTCACAGACAATATTCAAAAAGAATTTGACTTTCAGTACCTGTTCTTGGTAATGAAATTCATTATCTTCAATTTTCTGAATCTCTTCAAAAATTCTGTGAAAGAAGAAAATTAGAAGACATATTTAAATTTCTCATTGGAATCATCAGCAAGAAAAGAGAAGTATAAAAATAAACAGAATGCCTACATAACCTGTATATTTAAAGTACATTCACATGTAGAAGAATAAGGGTATGGAACCAACAACAGAAATTTAAAAGTGAAAAGTATTAGTCGCTCAGTTGTGTCTGACTCTTTGCGACCCCATGGACTGTAGGCTACCAGGCTCCATAGGGTCCTCTAGGCAAGAATACTGGAGTGGGCTGCCATTCCCTTCTCCAGGGAATCTTCCTGACCCGGGATGGAACCTGGGTCTCCTGCACTGCAGGCAGATTCTTTACCATCTGAGCCACCAGGGGAGTCCCTAGGTAAGTGGAGTTTAAGCAAGAAAAGCCTGGAACATCATCAAGGTAGGCCTAATCCATGTCTATTGGCAGCCTGAAGGCTAAAATATATTAGGATTGACCCTTGGCCTAATTCTAATAAGTGTATATATATAAATATTACCTTTTCTCTGGGCCAAGCTTTTGCAGCATTTTTAAATACTGGAAGACAGTATGAGCAACCTAAAAACAAAGCATCTAATTATACTTTTGCATAAAGCGGTATCTATATAACTTAAAAACCCCTCCATTTTAATTATTTACCTCATAGAAATGTTCATAACCCTCATCAGTCAATGTAATAGAAATGCTGAACACCGAGTAAGTAGAATTTTGCTCGAATCCTGTCTCACCATTTCCACCAAACAGTGCAAGAGCCCAGCACCTACAGTGAGGAGAAAAAAATTATTCCAATCAGTATCTTGGCATTGACAGTCCACAAATGCTTCAAATTAACAAAATAGGTAGGCTTTCCATGTAAAATTTGGGAAGCCCAGACTTTGAAGCAAACATGCTTTCACAACAGTAAGTTTAAAAGTACAATTTTTTTACAAAGTACAAAGCTTCCCAAGGAATTGCAGTACATACAAAAATAACCAGGAGGAAATAATAGCTGTATTTATTCCTTCAATGGAAACCCTAATATTACAACATAGTAAAACATTAACAGTTTCATGAAGTTACAGTAATTTTTTGAAGAGAACAGCACAAAATATTAGAAGCCATGTTTTCTGGAAAGCATTTCTCTTTCTCTCTTTTTTGGCCACACTGCTCAGCTTGCAGGATCTTGGTTCCCCCACCAGGGACTGAATCTGGGCCCTTGGCAGTTAAAGCATGGAGTCCTAATCACTGGACCACCAGGGAATTCCCCTGGGAGGCATTTCTCACATCCCATTTTGAATGATTTCCCAGAATAAGCCTTAAAAAACTACATCTCTACTTAGAATGTTAAGTAAGCTCTTTGAGACCATCAGCTCAAAGATAACCTGCCTGCACAGGTTATCTAGGAAAGAATCACTAAGACTGTATTCTGACTAGAGTAATCCTGAAAGTCTAAAATAAGAAAAGAAGAAGTCAGAATGAAAAATTTGAAATTCTAATAAAGTACTGTAAGATAAAAAGGTTATGTAAATCTAAAATCAAATTACATTTATTATATAAAAAATATATTTAATTTCATTCACTTTTTTTTCTAGTAACCCTGCCCCCTTAGCATTCTTTGAATAATTTAGTACACATCAATGTTTTAAAGTCTTTAAATTTCTCATCCACCTTCCATTCTTGAATAGTGTATAGAAAAGTCAAGCAAGGAATTACTTTAATGTGTTTTGGTCCTGATTCTAAAGTTATATTTCTATTATTTGACTAGGCAACTTAAACAAGTGCTTAAATGCTTTAGGAGACATTCTAGCTGTTTTCTAAAACACATGGCTATTCACAGTCCCACATATTTCTATAATTTATCTGCCCAATGAAGTTTTCATTAAAGTCCACCTTCTGGGTTGAGAAAGACTGGAGATCCACAGCGTTTAAATAATTGATTTAAACAATTTATTTTAAACAATTTATTATTGTTCAAATACAAATTCTTAATTAGAGCTAACCTTTTATGGGACTCATGGTTCTATAAAACTGTTGTCTATTATTTTTCAGAGATTATTACAGTGAAAATATTTATTAAATACTTGCTTTTTTCTAAGGTAAGAAAGAATGCTGCCTTTGCCTTCATGTCCAACCAGCCAAGAGATATAATGAAGTGGTTTCACCCTTTAAAAAAAAAAGTTAAGATCAGAAAATTTAAAATATTAAGGTAAAAATACCTTAATTTTACTTTAGAAAATCTTACTTCTGAGACTGATACTTGAGAATGTGGTTATAAACTTATTTTCACATAAATTCCATTAAATGTGAAATTATAATTAATTTGATAGCAGCAAGACAAAAACACTTCCTTCTTTGTAAAAATAAATTTTTCCCCACAAAAGCTAATTTACTGGAAGTTCATATATCTGGAATAAACATCAGGTTAAAACAAATACACACTCCATTAAAAAAAAAACTGGATCAAAACATATAGAAATGGTACAGTCTTTGGAAAACAGAATCATGGGTGATTTTTTTCTACTTTTTAGTAGTTCTCAAGATTTCTACAATGAATTACTTTAGTAATCAGGCAGAGGATAAACAAGGCTTTGCTAATTAAGAAAACAGAATAAGAAAATGCAAAGAAGAGGAAGAATGGTATAGATAGTATAATTCCATTTCCATAAAAAGATGTTTTATATTTATTATTTTAATGTCTGAAGGATATATAAGAATCTATTAATGTTAGGCATACTTGTGAGGACAGAGGAGATGCAGAGTTTTACTTTTTACTTAATATTCTTTGTCCTTAATATTATGTAAGCATACTATTTTTCTAATCAAAATTTAAAACAAATGGAATAAACTTTTAAATATGCATATGATCATTTTAATGTTTTTTTGGATATTCTAACATACAATCAATGAATATTACTACTTCCTATATTATCCCTACACTAAAAAAAAACAAATAGACAACACACATGTTCTCTGCTTTCTAAATGGAGGCATACTGATCTTGTTTGTTAACTTCATGGGACTAGATTGTTAAAAGTATTTTTTACTGAACTGAGCTTAAGCAATACCCATTACTTTTCTTTCCTTCTGCTTGTATGTCTTCTTGGGTTTGTTTTGTTGGTAATAGTTTTAGAAACTTAAGTTAACTTTTTATCAGTTCATTAGCATTTATTTCCAATGGGAAAAGCCTTTGTAGCCACTTAATGATCCTAACCTTTAAAGAACTTCTTAGCTCATGCATATGGCTCCTGTAAGATAATTTTAAGAATAAACTGAAATGTTTTCCTAACTTCTAAAAATCTGACCTAACTCATTCCCAACTCAAGTAAGTTCTTGAGATTTATGCTGCAGTTGTATACCAGGCTCAAAATTATTTAATTTTACTTTTCACAAGATCAAACTAAATGGTCACCACTAACAAATCATAAGCTAATATATACTTATACTCAAAGTACTAAAGAAGCTATTACAAAAGTTAGCATTCACACTAAGATACTTAATTTTAAACACTCAGGAAAAGCAACTAATCCTAAGAAAACTCTAGCTTTTATATGCAGGAAGATATTAAAACATATAGCAAAAACAAAAATCCTGAAGTAGTAGTGTCCCAGTTTATCATCTTACCTGCATTTATAAATCTGGAGTGCCCAAATTTAAACCACTCAGTATGCTTTTATACACAACAGAATATTACTCAGCCATTAACAGGAATACATTTGAATCAGTTCTAATGAGGTGGATGAAACTGGAGCCTATTATACAGAGTGAAGTCAGCCAGAAAAACACCAATACATTATACTAATGCATATATATGGAATTTAGAAAGATGGTAACAATAACCGTGTATGTGAGACAGCAAAAGAGACACAGATGTATTAAACAGTCTTTTGGACTCTGTGGGAGAGGGCGAGGGCGGGATGATATGGGAGAATGGCATTGAAACATGTAAATTATCATATGTGAAATGAATTGCCAGTCCAGGTTCGATGCATGAAACAGGATGCTTGGGGCCAGTGCATGGGATGACCCAGAGGGATGGGATGGGGGGGGTGGGGTTCAGGATGGGGAACACATGTACACCCATGGCTGATTCAAGTCAATGTATGGCAAAACCAATACAATGCTATAAAGTAAAATAAATTAATTAATTAATTTAAAAAATAAATAAATAAAATATGATTCTCAGTCAGTATCTAATGGAGTAAATTTGCCTTTGAACTCTTACCTGTAATGCTGCTGTTGAGGGGGAAGTGCCCATGTGATGGTCAGAGCATGGATTTTTCTAATTGGAACAACTGAACAAAAATATTTTTCAGAAGAGCAGACATAAGTGTTTCTCCACAACTTATATATACTATGTTACATGAAATTTTTAAGAATTCAATACATTTCATCCTCTAATAAGCAGGGGAAAGTTAAACACAATGCAATTATTATTTCAAGTTGCCAATTTTCCACTTTGAATAGTGCAATTTTGTAAATTTCTTTTCAATTTGGTTTCACAGATAGAGAAGGCATGGATAAAAGAACTATCAAAATATGAACACCCCAAAAGATGGATCCCTTCTTGCAAGAAGAGGTACATGACTAGGAATAAGGAGACCCATGGCTGAAATCTAGCCCTACTACTATCTTGCTATGTGAGTTTATATGATTTTGAGAAAATAAACTGTATTTAACTCCTTCTGAATCTGTTATGGTATGATGAGTTGGGATAAACTAAAGTAACTCTTAAGGTTCTTCCCAGTGCTACTATTCTATGGTTCTTTGAAGAGAAAATCTACAGTCAGAAAAAATACAACCAAAAATAAGTTGTCTCTGGGAAGAGTCAGCTTAGTTAGAATGGAGGCAGCAGCAAATAAAGAGTGTGACAAAAGTCACTGGTCAGAGAAAGAGGAAAAAGACTGGCAACTGGGGTGAAGGAGAAGGGAATAATTAGCCAATTAGGAGAAAGGAAAATATTTGCCATGATAAAAAAAGTAAAGAAAGAGAAACGGTGAATTAGGAATGCTTTTGCAATATTCACTATAGGCAAATTATTAAGTAAATTATAGCATAACCATGTAATGGCTCATTGGGCAGTCATTACAAACATAATATTAAATGAAAAAAGCAAGAGACAGAAGTGTATATACTTTATAATCTCAACTATGTTAAAAAAATATATGTACAGAGACTCAAAAGAAAATTTGCCAAAACCACTTCTCTGGATGGTAAGATTTATGGGTGACTTCCCTCACCCATATTTTTTTAATACTAAATTTGTCTCATTTAATAAAAATTAATTTTATAGTGAAGATAAAAGGAAGTTATTTCCAAAGTGTTTTCCCATCCTCTATTTTTGTCTTTAAAAGGCAAAAAAGAGCAGATTATAGATAAAATAGGAAAGAAACAAAAAACACCAGGAACAAAAGGAAATGAGAGAAAAAATAGGAAGAAAGTACGAAACAGACTCAAGCAGCATCAGGTACCAGACCAATGGATCTGCTACTAGTCAGTGGCCTACCATCTGTCACTAGTTGGATTTCCATTGTCTATCTACTTCCTTTCCAATCTAGCTGTACTTTCTGTTGTATTCTCATTTTCAAAGAAAATTGGCAGCCCCGATTAAGTTTTAGAGAATGTGCTAAAGTTATTTCAAATAGTTTTAAACCTTTGGTTCACGAACCTCTATAAAGTTTGTTAAATGCTGGTGTGTCAAATGGATCCGTTAAATGGCCAAAGTTTGGTTTGGGTAACCCACTGAAAATAAAACAAATACATTAAAATTTAATTGGCAAAAGCCTTTATAAGCAGTATCTTTAGGGATACCTAAGCTGATAGGTATTTATAATCTATTCTACGCACCCCTGGTTGAGAAGCATCTTAGGCATAAGCAAATAGATGGCAAGAAAGCCACAAAATCCTGAACTACACAAACTATTCTTAACTTCAGCCCCAGTAACTCAAATACTTTTAAAACTCATGGGAGACAGAAAACAATGAATTGAAGGGACCTCCCCTCCCAATATTTATCGTCTCTATCAGTCCCATTCAACTTTAGTTTTCCTCTTAATAGAAAGCCATTTCAGAGAGAAAATTTATACTGAAGATATTTTTTTGATATAACAAATACACACTGAGTGATCCTTAGTAATAAAGTATGGTATTAAGCACTGTGGTATTTAAAAAACTTGGATTCTTCCTTCTAAAGGCTTCGCACAGAGTTGAATATACTGTTAACTAATATTTCTCCTAAACATGGTCAATATGAAATCAGTATTAATTACCCAGAAGACTTTTTAACTTGTCTGATTAAGGAACCAAAGTTCTTAATGAATAATATTTAAAAGAATTTTTTAAACTTAAAATTCTTATCAGGGATTAACCAACAAGACCTAGTGAATCCCTCTCTTCCATATGTGCTGCGCTTAGTTGCTCAGCACATATGGAGCAATTTAAGAGCCTTGTCTGACTCTTTGTGACCCCATGGACAGTAGCCTGCCAGGCTCCTCTGTCCATGGGGATTCTCCAGGCAAGAATACTGGAGTGGGTGGCCATGCCCTCCTCCAGGGGGTCTTCCCAACCCAGGGATCGAACCCAGGTCTCACGCATTGCAAGCAGATTCTTTACCATCTGAGCCACCAGGGAAGCCCCTCTATTCAATATACTTATGATTTTATTAGTAAAGTTTCACAGTGAAACACATTTTAATCTGTCACTTGACACTTAAGAAGCTAATATTCATTTCTTATCAAAACAAACAAAACAACCCCATAACGTTGGTATGGCTTTCATTATCTTTCCATACTTAAAAGTACTGCTAGTTATCAATGCAAATTTATATTAAGCAAGATAATCATAACCAATCAGTTGTTATTACAAATAATTCTAACATTTTTAAAACTAATTTCTCTTTCATAAATTTAAAACAAGTTGTCTTGGAATGAAGAACTGGAAAAAGTCTAGCTTACTCACCTGATACAAGAAAAAAACAATCTGATTTCATTTAGTTTACTAAAATGCAAACTGCTAAGAGTGGGAAGAAAAACTTACTTGCTTAACAATTAATTTTTTTTTAATTCTCTGTAACAAAAAATGTAACAATAAAGTATCTTTTAAATATGTGTTTTATTTTTATGAATTTGAAGTAGACCAAAAAACAGTAGCTTTCTGAACTGGAACTCTATATCCAATTTCTAATAAAAGGCAATTGATTCGAATATATGCAACAGGCTTTTCAGGCAATATGTAAAGTCAATTATCATCTACAAGATTATTCTTTTGTAAGGGAAAAGCTTTCCAAGTTCCAAACCATGGACTTAAAAAACAAACCTTCAGAACATAATTAAGTTCTGAGGCAAGGGATACATGTAAGTATATGTATATTCTACCTCTCAACACAATAATATCAGAGTTTCAAGCACTGGACACAGTAACAGAAAAGCTCTGAACAAACATAAAATGAGGCATAAACTCTTCAGAGTTACTGCTTACTATAAGTTTACAAGCTTGGAAGTTTTGAACTACAGAAACTGGAAACTTGGGTATTCAAGTCAGTTTTCCCTCTCAAAGGCTGTGTTATCTAAACTACTTCAGGTCTTAATTTAATCACCTGTTTAAAAAATAAACTAAAAGCAAAAAGTGGCCTCTTTAACTCCATAGGTGTTTGATTTATGAAAATAAATGTCTTACTTGTTTGGTATCTGAGAGAAGATTTCAGTCACCCACTTTTCCAAAGTATCCAGAGTTTCTTTGTGGAGAAGGCAGGAAGGAGACAGGGAAAGGCAATGTTGTTATTAAAAGTAGAAATGCAATTAGATTTCTCATGGATCTTTAGCTATAAAACAAAGGAATACTTTAATTTGGGCATCACTTGCCACTCCTTAACCAGTAATCAGTAACAGGAAAAATAACAATATTTAAGAAAACCTTGAGATACATCTAATTTAATTTTGTTAAGACTCCTTTATTCTTTTTTCCTAGTGAATTTAGAGAAAGCACACAAGTAGAAAAAAAGTTTTTGCTAGGCAAGAGTGAAGGAGCAAGAGATGAGAACACATCAATCACCATTTCAAAACTTACCTCCTCTAAGAAGGTCTCTCTTAACTAACCTACACTAACTACACTGACCCTTCTCAGCAGTTCAGCAGTACTATTATATTCCATTTGTTTTACATCAATATACACTTGCTGAGGTCTTCTTAGGTTGATATGATTTCTATCTTCTCTCAATTCTTTTTCTTATATTTCATAAGAAATTCTTTTGAAATTTCTAGTAAAACAAACAGGAGTTCTAAATGAAAAAGGAAATCTTTTAGTCTTATCCCAGTGATTCATTACCATCACTGGATATTACTTGTTAGTTCTAACAGACACATGAGTTTCACTAACTCAAAAAGAGATGCCCCAGGATTTATAACATAACATGCAAATCAGTAATCAAGTTCTAAATTTACTCCATACTATTTATATTGATATTTAACTTGAAAATGATACAATAAATGCTGATGCTCCAAACTGACTCCAGATTGGACAAAGTTCTCTTACCGAATATGTGGGACTTATTTTAGAAATTTGCAAGAAGCATTACTATACTTATATTTGCTATCACTGAAGAAAAGAATACAAAAGAAGCAACACCCAGTTGAAGAAAAATGCATGTTCACGACAGATTTGGAAACAAAAATTAGTTTAAAATTGCAAACTAACATTACATACTAAATATAGAATTGCCTATTTTAATAAATGTTGTAAAAGAAACTGAGATGCACATTTGCAGTCTAACTGCCATACCATATCCATAACCTTATGTTCATGTCAACTTTAGTGGACTAATTTTGATTCTAAATATAAAAATGTTTTATAATTAAGTGCCAAGTCAGCTCTGACCTTAATTTTGACAATGAGAGAGCAAAATTTTATAAAAAGGAGAATTACATTAGGGTTAGAAAATTTGTTTTTTAAAAAGAAATATACAAACTGAAGTATATCAAATGTATATCAAATATGAGGTATATCAAAATACATAGTTCAGCAAATGACTGACTTTGAAAAGTAACCTAAGGAGAATAAAATATAAAGAAAACAAAAGAAAGATACTATGATTTCTTTAATGAGAAAAGTTGATACAACATTATCTTCACTAAAGATAAAAGAAGTGAAAAAAAAAAAGAAGGGAAAGTGTAGAGGTACTGACCAATATTTTTACATTTCAGATACTTAATGGATAGGCTTCAATTAATCATGCCATTTTATTGGACGCTATGTAATGATGAAAAGACAAACACTGTGCCCTCTAAGAGTTTATGATTAACACAGATTAAATGCAAAAGCAGAGATGATAAAGGCAGCAGCCAAATGTTGCTCAAAAGACCAATTCACAATCTATTAGTACATTAATACACTAACACTAGCCAAGAGATAAGACTTATGCCTATAAAAGAAAAAACATTTGCCTGAGAATCAGATGATCTTGTGTGTCCCTGAGCTTTGCCTCTTCAAATTCTGATATCCTTTAGTTCATATTAGGATCAAGCGCTAAAGTAAGTTAACAGTGCACAGCAACACTGATATGACAGACAAATCCTAAGAAAGCAGTACTTTCAAGTAATTCTAAGGGCCATAGTAGACAATATTACCTTTGGATTGAACCACTAAAGTCATGTAATGAGCAGAATAGTAACGAATCCAGAAATCTCTCAATCTAGCATGTGTATCAGTATTATTTCTTTTGGGCTCATGTTTGAGAGTTTCAGCATTTCCTATAAAAAAATGAAAAAGATTATAGATATGACTAAGTTTACTGTATTAAAAGTCTCTACACTGACAACGCATCCTCTGCTACTATATACAACTAAGGAAACAACCCAAGTGACTCAAAATACTGAAATAAGTTTATAATAATAAGACAAAAATTCACAAGAAACAATTTCAAGGTATATTTTAACACATAAGGAATTAATCTCTAGTTAGCAATACCTCAACAACAGTACTTGCCTTACACTTCCTTTCTTAATAATTAGTCTATCAGGTTTTATCTATCTCATTAATTCTTAAACATAAACCACACACAGCCAGGATGCCATATAAAGAGTATACAACTGTACAAACAAGCAAACAAGCAAATCATCCTTTGAATGTCTGGTCTAAATGCTATTAGACCAACTCATTCCAGATTCTACTCTGTTGTCAAGAGGATTAATATAAAGCTATAATAACTGAATTCTAACAATAAGAAACAGCCATTATGAAAAACAGACACCATTTAAACAGCTTACCAATTAAACAAAATTAGGGCACAGCTCAAAAACTACTAGAGAAATCACTGCTCAATCTCTGTTGATGAAGGCAAATTCAGGTTGGGGTAAAGCACATATTTTATAACACAGTTTTTTAAGAGGTTCAAATCCCACATCCACCATTATCATATTTAAGCAAATTAACTTCTCTGAGCCCGTTTCTTCATCTTTAAATGGAGATGATAATGGTACCCAGGTTCATAACATTGTTATGACAATTAAATGGGATAATTCACACTGTGGCAGTAGAGCATCTGGCACCCAAAAAACATTTTCTAAATATTAGATGCTATTCCTCATACAGTCAACATTAGGGAACCAAAATATAGGCATACTTAACTGCTTTCTATTTGAAAAGCTACCTACCTACCCCAAAACGTAACGTAAAAAGTACCTAACTACCTTACCTTTCCATTCTTTATAAACCCTTCATGCTCTCAATCTTTCTTTACTAGAAAATATGAAACACGATGAAGTATTTAGTCTCTTACCCCAAAAAAATTTCCCCATAGGATGTCCAGGTCTAGCAAGGCTTCCAAACAGCATTTCCTTTCTGTTTGCATCAGAGGGTCTTGCAAGCTGATATTCTGTCAATTTTAAAGAAATACTTTTAAGAAAATGAAATTCAGTATCTTGATTTACTATCTGGAAATTCAAGCTTAAAGAACTGAAAGTAAGGAAGTAACAAAAATTAATTTTATGAATCATGTGTAGTAAGACTGAAGTGGGGAATTCAATGATCTAGGACAAGTTCTATGACTTAATATATTCTGTAACTTTGGGTAGTCAATTCACCTTTCTAGAGACTTTCCTTTATTTTCCAATGAAACAGGTAGTTAATGACCTGAAAGTTTCAAGTCTAGAATATAAGAACTAAAATACTGCCTGCCATATCAGTTAACAGAGGATGTTACAGCCATCAAACCATCACATTACAGCCGCAGGGACAATGCGTCCTAAGGAAACTCAGCATGAGAAAACACAGGATACTGGCCCCAGATAGCTGAGATGCTATCAAAGGAATGATTTCAGTGAGTCCAGACTCTTGCATCTTCCCATACATAGAAAAGCACTAAATTCCTTGAGATATCTCATTTTCTTTTATTAACAGTAATCTTTTGATGTTTCAACCACCCAGTCTCTTGTTGCAAAAAACTCCTATATATCTTGGCTCCCTGATCCCCCTTGCCACTTTGGAACAGTTTTTTCAGCATTATCTGAGATGCTGTGTCCCAGGCTTGAAGTCCTCAGAGAACCCGTCAAGTAAAATATAACTCTCAACTTGTAGGCTGTGCATTTCTACTCAGTCAACAGATAATATCTCCAAGATTTTATTAATGAAGGTACTAATAAAATGTCAAATCAAAGTCCTTATTATCTGAGAACTTTGCTATATATATTATTTAAATTTCCTCCAAAGTCAACTATGTAGGTAATAAAGTACTAATGGTTAAAAACAATCACTTTGAAGCCAGAAATATCTTGGCTAGAATCCAAGTTCTGCAATAACTAAGCTGCACAACATTGAGGAAGTTATCTAACTTCCCAAATTCTATTTTTCATCTACAGTATGGAGTTACTAGTACCAAGCTCATAGGATTTTTTAAAATAAGAATTAAATAAGATACATTCCTACACTGAGCATCTACTATGCAGCAGGTACTACTAAACTAGTTGCTGGAGGTAGAAAGTTCAGAATCAAAGCAGAGTCAAGATATCAGGCTGAAGAGGTAAGGAAGAAACAATTTTTGAAAGAGCCCTTCTAAGCCTCAGTTTCACTGCATGTCAAATAAGGATAATGGAGGTAATAATCATAATGATGCACATAATAAGCTCAATAAGTGTTAGCTATTATTACTTACAGGAATAATGGTAAGGCATTACAAATGTTTAGTAAGGAGAGTAACATTATCATTATCACAGATCTAGACTTCAGTAAGTTCATTCTGGTTGTAAATGTGGAAGCAAAAGTAGAGACAGGAAAACTGATGAGGAGCCATCACTGTTATACTTGGTAAAGAGAGCAGAAACCAAAGTGGTGATGGAAGAGATGGAAAGAAGTAGAAACATAGGAAATAACATACTTCAGTTATAAATCATGAAGTGTAAATTAAAGATGAGACAGTAAAAAAAAAAATACATTTATAATTTCCATATCTGGAAAGTATACATAGTAAAAAGTATATATACATAGCTTCAACAGAGCAAATTTTTAAAATCTCTAAAAATATGAAGATATGGTGGCTATAACACAGAAGAAACAATTCCATTATTAAGTGTGACTGAACAATGGCCCCCAAAGATGGCCATATCTTAATCTCCAAAACCTGTGAATGTGTTACCTTATATGGTAAAAGGAACTTTGCACTGTGATTAAATTAATGATCTTGTGATGCAGAGACTCTACTATATTATCTGGGTGGTCCCAATGTGATCAGAGGGTCCTTAAAAGAGGATCAAGGTCAGAAGATGTTAAGACAAAAGCAGGGTCAGATAGCAAAGGAGATTCCACACCAATGGCTCTTAAGATAATGAAAGGAACCACAGTCTAGGAAAGTAGGTGGTATCTAGAAGGTAGGAAAGGAAACAGATTCTCCCTTGAGGCTGCCAACAGAAATGCAGTCCGGAGGAAATTATTTTAGATTTCCGACCTCCAAAAGTTTAAAAAAAAAATCTGTTATTTTAAGCCACTGAGTTTCTGGTAATTTGTTACAGCAGCAACAGGAAACTATAATAGAGTAGACATATAAACATATCTACAAAAAGTAATCTAGAATTCCCCTACAACTGACAAAAATAGAGTATAAATACTGAACACTTAGAGAACACGCTCAACCACTTGATTATATTAAAAAAAAGCTTTGGTCATATCCCCAATCTCAATTACTAAGGTACAATATGTAAGCAATTACACATGATTATGTAAGAGTATGACTAATCATTAAAATAAAGAGCTAATCATTAAGAATAATATTTTCTCTACAATCTTATTTTAGCAATAAGTCAATCTGATTTTAAGATCTATCCTGTGTACATTTGTGGCTTCTATGATTAAATGTATTCAAGAAAATTATAAAACACTGAACAGACCTATCTGCATTGTGCAAACAAATTCTTATAAATTTATGTGTATAACCACTCCACTGAAAGATCAGACCAAAAACAGATGGTCAATGCAGGGCATGGTAATGAAGGTACAAGTGATAAATTTAAAACCTAGGAAAGAATCTCTTCCATAAGCAGGAGGAGAAGGAAAAGGAAAATGAAAAGATGAATCTACCATGACAGTTGAATTTCACTTCAACTCCTCTCACATTGAATGGGTCATTAGAGCATGTAGGCAACTAAAAACATGCAAATGAGGTGAGAATGATAGAATAAAGATTATTACATCCGAATAAAAGAAAATAACATCCAATTGTGAAGCTTTCAAAAGTACTTAATAGACCTCATTATTTGTAGATACTGATTCTGGAAAAAGAAAGGCTAAGATGTATGACTACAATACTGACTTCGACCTGGCCCAGAGCTGTTAACTCTTAATGGTCTACGTATGATATGTGTTAACATGTGACACTATTCAATTATAAATGTTTTGTGGCTTTAGCCAAGATAAATTTATGCTGTGTTCATAATAAATATCAGTATCTACCAATGTGTAAATACTGAGTCCCCAAATGTTCATATGTTCAATGTTCACAGAACCTAAACTTAGCTCATCTTAAATTTTCTAATATATTATAAATACAATTAAGAGAATAATATATCATAAATAAGCTAAAAAACAACTACTTAATGAATACTAGTTTGTTACACCAAAATTTTAAGACCTCTCCCATCTCCTTGCATACATGGCATGCTCAGTCGCTTCAGCTGTGTCCGACTCTCTGCGATCCCATGGACCATGGCCCGCCAGGCTTCTCTGCCCATCAGATTCTCCAGGCAAAAATACTGAAGTGGGTTGCCATGCCTTCCTCCAGGGGATCATGCCGACCCATGGATCGAACCTGCATCTCTTGCACTGCAGGTGGGTTCTTTATCGCTGAGCCACTGGGGAAATCCCTTTCATCTACCTAATCTCAAGTAAATCCTTTATACTTAGAAGGTTAAGTAACTAATGATATATACCTAGCTATTTGTATCAGATTACAAATTGAAACCTAGGTCTCCTATCATCAAAAACAAAACAAACAGAGCCTTTAGCTTAAGTTCATTTTAAACCAAAACTACTTATTGTGTGTGAGTACATATCATATATCACACATTCAAAATAAAATATATTCTGAATTAAACTCATAAAATTAAATGAGATGTTTAATCTTTTGCGGGGGGGGGGGGGGGGGTGTACCACACAAGCTAGCAAACTCTTAGTCTGCCAACCAAAGACTGAGCCTGGGCTGCTGCTCCTGCTGCTAAGTCACTTCAGTGGTGTCCGACTCTGTGCAACCCCTTAGACAGCAGCCCACCAGGCTCCGCCTGGCTCCAGGCAAGAACACTGGAGTGGGCTGCCATTTCCTTCTCCAATGCGTGAAAGTGAAGTTGCCTGGCTACAGCAGTACGATTTCTGAGTCCTATCACTGGACCATCAGGGTTTAACCTTTTAAATGGCAATTTCAACCCACTCTTGAAACTATACAAATAAAAACACACTTGAAAGAATTAAAGACACAGAATATAGTTCCTAGGTTCCAAAAGCAGGAAAGGCTTTTAGAGTTTTCCTTATTTATTTTAGTTTTCATACATTCAACAAAGTTATCTGGGCCTATGAAAAAACCCAGTTGTGGGTAAGTAAATAACAAAAATGAAGAAAATAAATCTTTGGTTATAAGAAGCGACTAGAGCTAGGAGGAATCTAACTCCATTCCAGCCTCTTTTACTAATAAATTGAGGGCCACAATTAGTGACATTTCTATAAGTAAAACACAGCTTGCTGACTTGAAAACAAATAGTTCTTTCCAGTTATCTACAGTTTATTTTGCCTAGTGAAGGCAGTAAATGATTATCAGAAATAGACACACAATCAAACCAAAGGGAAAATGTTACAAAAGGAAGAACTAGTACAAAGACCTTGCCTCTTCAGTCATGCAAGCCAAGCCTAACCTATATGAACTGGAAGTCCCCCCAAGTGTACTATTACATGTTTCTAATGCTAAAATAAGGAAGCAGGGTTAATCTGCAGTGATATTATTTATTGATATCCTGTAACTGAGGGATATCTGTAGCACAATTCTCTAACGAATCCTCACCCTATACAGACACACAGTTTTCCTTATTGTCTTCAATCTTTAAATCACAAAGATAAGAAAGACCATCAAAAAGTAAAATTAACAGGTTTCCTGCTCAGGAGGTTTCTTCATCCATAAACATACCAAAATTATTTTCAGTACAGAAGCTAAATCCACAAAGCACTGACACACAGAAGTAACAAAAAATAAGCTATTTTAATATCAGGATGGTGCATAAAGTAAAGCCTCAGAGGAAATATTTCTTCATGCAAAAAGAGTATGTGAACTTCTGAAGTTTGAATACCCAGTATTAGTCTTAAGAATTAAGAATTATGGTAAGAGGTCAGTCACTGTGGTAAAACCCTCAAAAAAAGCAAAGGCTGAAAAATCAAAAATCCACAATCCTTCAATTTATTTCAAATCTATACTGAATAGACATTTAATGGCTTCAGTAATAAACATGACATTTCTATTTTAATTTAGCACTTTATGACATAAAGAGTGATAAAGAATGATAAATGTGCTAAATAACTGGATCAATGAAGGAAAAAGCAGTATGACATAAAGCACTTACCACTATCAACAGCTTCAACTTCTCGGTCAATTGCATCTCTGATCATTAGCGGATGGATGAAAAACTGGGCCCATCTTAAGACAAAAAAAAAAAAAAACCTGTTTGGTAAAAGCTGTTCACCAGCCAACATCTATTTTTTTAAAGTAAGAAACTTTACTAAGCTGGAGATTTAGTTCATAATCATGTGTATAAAACCTAAACAATATACAGCATTTCTAGATTTTGAAGTCTATGAACCACTTTTTCTCTATTATGAAATATAACACCCACCACAGAAAAATACATAAAACATGAGCATAAAGACTACAGGGCAAATACCAAAGTGGCAACTACTCAGTTCAGGAACTGGAACACTGCCAAAGCTCCAGAGGCAACAGTACCCACCTCAGAAGTAATATCATAAATGTTACAGTGATCACTTCTCTGCTTTTCTTGGTAGTTTTAACACATATACATGTATTTCTAGACTGGTGTTTCTTGATTTTTTTTTCCCATTATCAACCCTAAGGAGCCTTTTCAGAAATCTTACTCCAATCACTACCCTATGAAATTTCTGCACACATACACAGCCTGTTTATATATTGTATGTGTACCTGATTTCATAACTAAAAAGTATATGAGGACTACTCTTTTTTAACTTTTTAAGTTAAAATATTAACGGTTATTAGTATTTCACTTAATTGTATAACTATATTTGTAAACTTTAATATAATTTATTCCTTATAGAGGTTGTAGTACATCAAATTACATATGCAAATTACCCATTTATATAATAACGGCAATAAAATCAAGTTTTAAAAAAATTAATATTTATTTTTCCAGCAAGACATTAAAGAAATTAATTTCCTACAATATTTAATGAACTTTGAACTTCTGGTTGCTCTGAGAAGAAACTTTTAACTTAATTAGCTACTAATACTCATTAAAATGTTACTGACATTTTTTTCTTTTCAGTACTTGTTATAACTAATCATGGGCTAAATAACTTTTGTTGAATTAAATAATAAAATAGGTTATATTTAATTCTAAAAATCAAAGTCACACACAAAAGAAAAGAGAGGGTCAAACATAAACAATATCCACAAGGCAGCTAATGACAACCAACTGACACACGCAGACTACCTCTAGTGATGAGTTCATGATCAATCATGTGAACGTCCTCCAATCATCTATCACCACAATTGTAGCCCAGACCTTACATACACTCTGCATCTCTTCCATGAACTCAGTGTCAGTGTAAATGGTGCTCATGTGATTCTTGAGAAAACTCAGAAAGAAATTAATACTAAGTGAAGATTTTGCAGATAGGGTTAAGCTTTGGAGGGCCACAAGCCATTATAATATCAAACATTTTTTTACCTCCAAGAACCAATTTCTGCTACCAAAAGAAACAACATGAACCAAGAATGCATATTCTAGACAATATATTTTCATTTTTGAGCTTCATATAAATGGATATATAGTTTATATACCCTTTACATGATTTAACTCAACACTTTGTCATTCACGATGTTACACGTGACTGTGGCTGATTTATTTTCACTGCAATAGAATATCCCAAAAAAAAAGAATATTCCACTGCATGAATTTACTCATCCATTCTACTGCTGATGGACATTTGTGCTGGTTCCGGATCTGAACCATTACAAACAATGTTGTCAAAAACATTCTTATAAATATGTACCATGGCACATGTGCATAAGTTTGTCTAAATATCTAAGAACTCCAAGGTAACAGCATATGCATCATATGTTCTACATCACCAGGTTAATACCAAACCTTTCCAAAAGTGATTGTGCCAGTTCACTCTTGCATCAGAACATTCCTCCAATCCTCTACAACCTCATCTTCACCTGGTATTGTCAGACATTAAAACTGTCTGTAACTTTTAGAAGGATAGTTAAATTTCATAATGATTTGAATTTACATTTCCTGATAGAACACTTTGTATATTTAGTAATAATTTTAATTTCTTCTGTTATAATATGTCTGTTTTAGGGGTTCTTCTATTGGGTTGTAGTTTTCTTATTGATTCTAACAGTATATATATTTAATTATCCATTGTGGCTCAGACGGTAAAACGTCTGCCTACAATGTGGGAGACCCGGGTTCGATCCCTGGGTTGGGAAGATCCTCTGGAGAAGGAAATGGCTACCCACTCCAGTACTCTTGCCTGGAAAATCCCATGGACGGAGGATCCTGGCAGGCTACAGTTCATGAGGTCGCAAAGAGTCGGACACAACTGAGCGACTTCACTTCACTTATATAATATGTAATAGCATATATAATCATATGTAAACATATGTAATCTAATAATTAAAACTCAATGGTAGTTATTCTATGTCCTTTGTTAGTTACATGTGTTACAAATATATTCTTCCACTTTACACTTGCTTTTTTCACTCTCTTTATATTACCTTTACATGAACACAATGTACTATCATCTCTTTTTGTTTTTCCATCTTGTTTGATAATCCTTATCTAAGGTTAAAGTCACACTTTTCCATAAAACTTTTAATGGCACTTTTCACTTTTTGGTCTATAATCCACATAGAACTGACTTTTTTGTGTATGTTGTGAGAAAGGGAGTCAATTTTGTTTTTGCCATTATACTATCTTGGTATCATTTTTTTAAAAAGCCCTTGACCACTGCTTCATAATGTTCCTATCAAAAATCAAGTGTCCATGTATGTATTGGTCTATTTCCATTCCAAGAAACATTCTGTTCCACCGTCTCTTTGTCTAGCCTTCTGCTAACACCACAATGTCCTAATTACAAAACAAATCTTAATATCCAGTAGGTCAAGTTCTACGACCTTGTTATTTTTCCAATTCAAAAGTATCCTGGCTATACTTAGCCCTCTGTATTTCCTTATAAATCTTAAGAGTTAGGTTGTCTATTTTAGACTAAGTAAATCTTCTACAATTATGGTTGTGATATCACTGAATCTGTACATTAAATAGGAAGAACTAATGTCACTGAAAAAAACAAGAGAGAAAGATTTGGGGAATCCCCTGGTGGTCCAGTGGTTAGGACTCTGCACTTTCAATGCAGGTGGCAGGGGTTTGATCCCTGGTTGGGGAGCTAGGATCCTCCATGCTTAGCAAAGTGGCCAAAAGAAAAATTTTTTAAAAGGGCTTAAAATCCATAAATAGTATTTCTCTCAATTTACTTAGGTCTTTAACATTTAAATAAGATTTTAATATATCCTCCATGAAGAAGTCTTATATATAATTTGGGGGATGATTCCTTTTTCCCCCAAACTTTAAACTTTTTATTTTGTATTGTGGTACAGCTGATTAACAATGTTGCAGTAGTTTCAGATGAACAGTGCAAGGGACTCAGCCATACATACACATGTATCCATTCTCCCCTAAACACCCCTCTTTTCCAGGCTTCTACATAACACTGACCCGGGTTCCATGTGCTATACAACAGGTCCCTGGTTGGTTATGGGGAATGATTCTTGAATGTCTGATTATTTATGTAGCTCTTATAAACTTGTTTTTAAATTTCAATTTCTAACTGCTGCAGATACACAGAAATTATACTTTCATATGTTAAACAATTTTTGTTTAACATATAAATTTTTAAATTTGTGCATATCCAGCTATCTTACTGAATTCTGTTAGTAATTTTTATCTGTATATTTTAGATTTTCTATGTTCACAATCATATCATATGCTATGACAGTTTATTTTGCTTATTTTTCTTTCTTCCCTAATAGAATGATGAATAGAAGTGATCATAAACTGCATCTGCCTTGTTCTTGATCCCAGTTTGAAATCTTTCGAAGTTTCACCATTAAATATAAGGTTTGATTTAAAACATCAAATATCACACTGAGAAAGCTACCTTATATTCCACTTGCCAACAGTATCTTCATTAATAGATACTCAATTTCACCATGTAATTTTTCTCTACATACACAGAATTATGGTTTTTTCTCCTTCAATCTGGCAATGAAATGAACAGCACTGATTTTGTTAACCCTACCTTGTATTTCCAGGATGAATCCAACTCAGTACTGCTGTATCAGCCTATTTGTGAATCTGGTCTATATTTTTTCTTATATTATACTTTCTTATATCAAGGTTGTGCTGTTTTCTAAATGAGGGAGGAATCTTTCTTTCCTCCATTTTTTTGTAAGACTCTAAAGAAAACAAGTTTATTTTTGAGAAGATCTTTCATTACTGATTGATTTCTTTAATGATTATGAGTATGCAAACTTTTAAATTATAATTTCTCTGATGTGGGTTTTATAAATGATATTACTAGGAATTTGTGAATGCCCTCTAGTTTTTTTCATTTACTGGAAAAGGTTTTCGAAATATCTTATTTTCAATATCAGCCAATATATCATATTCTTTTTTATTCCTGATATTTTCACATACTTTTTTCCTTTGACCAGTCTCATAAAAGGTTTATCTATTTTGTTAGTTTTTTCAAACCAACATTTAGCTTTCTTGAAAGTCTATGTTTGCTGTTTCTATTGAGACATAATTCACATACCACAAAATATCCCTTTAAAAGTATATAATTAAAAAAATTTTACTACATTCACAGAATTGTGTAATTACCACTAATTTCAGAAAATAGTCATTAACCCCAAAATAAACTCTGTACCTCTTAACAGTCATCTTCTATTCCCCCATCCCTCTAGCCCCTGTAACACTTTTGATCTCCATGGATTTGCCTATTTTGGACATTTCATGTAAATGGAATCAAACCTTATATGGGGCCTTTTGTGTCTGGCCTCCTTCTATCAGCATAATGTTTTCAAGATTAATTTCAACATTCATTCAAACATTGTATCATGCACCAGAACTTCATTCCCTTATTATTGCCAAGTAATATTCCTTTGTATGGATATGCCACATTTGGTTTATCCATTCATCAGTGAATTGACATTTCGGTTTTTCCATTTTTGACCTATTATATATAATGCTGCTACAAACACTCATTTAGGTATTTTTATGCAAACGTATGTTTTCAATTCTCTAGAGCATGTATACAAAGAGTAGAATTGCTAAGTAATATTGTAACTCTTTAATTAACTTTTGATGAAGTTTT